AGTCAAACATTAACTGATCTGAGAGAGGCCTACAGTTCCTTAGATCTTTATCTGTGGTCTGCTGTAGCTTCCCTGATGAGCTTTCCATGCACTTTTGGAGTAATTCTGCTAGGCTGGCCACTGCTGGTGAGATTTGCCATGGTTCCAAGTCTTTTCCATTTGTGGATGATGACACTCACAGAGGTTTGCTGGAGTCCAAGGGTTTTAGAGATTGCTTTGTACCCCTTTCATCACTGATGTATTTCAATAACTTTCTTTCTCAGGTCTTCAGAAAGTGCTTATGATCCAGGCATGGTGTCCACATTACTTGAATGGTTTTATTTAAGTGATGTGTTGGTTCAACAGGGCTTGTAGTCAAGCTTCAGTGTGTCTAGTTTATTTTAACTCATTATCATTTAGATTTGGTTCATCGAGTTACTTTGTCACAGGGTTGATATGGATGAATATTTTTTTCTTCAGTGAGTCAAATCGTCATGCAAAAAGTAAATTTTTTCAGAGAATCAGAAACAATATAGTATTATGAATAAAAAAATCACGGGAAGTTTTATCTGTATATACATTCAAACAGCCATACATCTGTCATAGGGTATTTTCATTAAATTGAAACATCTGTTTAAAAATGTTTTCTAAAAAAACATTCATAATCTTATTTAAAACATATGAGTATTTATTAAACAAAATATTTAAACTTGACAATATAATACTTGTTTTAAAATAATATCAAAATAAAACAAATATGTACCACAGACATGTTGCCGAACCCAGAATAGAAAGAGCAATGTGACAGTCAAAATGTAGACAAACACAAATTCGCAGATCTTTACAGGTCGTCCTGTGGTCAGAAATAATTACAGTTAATTTCGGGTTTTAATACAACAAGGCATATTAATGAAATAAACTGCTTCATGTTCCGGGAAAATCAGTAAATACTTCTCTGAAGACACAGAACAAATTTAACAAAACCACTCCATCACTGGAAGTGTCCATTTTACAGCTTACACAGAATGTATTACTGTCTATTTCATATTTGATTATATCAAAGTATATGCCTTAAAAAGTAGGGTGTAATTCAATAATAATTTCAAAATAGAAATATATTGCATTATTGTTAATAGCAGCCCAAAAAACATTTCAGGTTTATAAACATTTCACAAACACCATGTACCAAATAGCTGAGAGTTAAAGCTGTATTACAGTCAAATGGTTTGGTTACAGTTAAAGGTTTTCCTTACCTTTGTCATTTTCAAAAATTACACTTAGATACGGGAAACTGAATATTAGGTGAAGAATGAAGAAAATCCCCAAAAGTATTTTCTGAGCAAGATCTGAAAAGCAATAAATCATGTAAAACAAGAGATTAAACATAACATAGAACAGGCCCCCATTAAACATTATTCCTCTGTTTACTTTTGACTGTTATATATTTGAGGGGTGAGCATTTACAGGGGTGGACTAAATTATGCCTTAGCTGTTATATGACCAGACCAGATGAAGAGCATCATCAGACCTAATGACTCCCACAAGATGGCTGCCCACACTAACAGACACTGTGGGCCGAGGGCGTCCTTTTATTTTCTCCAAATCTAACCCCATACAGAGGCTCTGCAATACTGAATTTCTGAGCACACTTTGCAAAACTGCATTGCGGAGCACACTCCCAATAATGACCTGTTGAGCACACTCCCCAATACTGCACTGCTGAGCAGACTGCAATACTACACTGCTGAGCATACTCTGCAATATTGCACTGCTGTGCACACTCTGAAATATTGCACTGCTGTGCACACTCTGAAATATTGCACTGCTGAGCACACTATGCAATAATGACCTGCTCAGTAGACTCTGCAATACTGCACTCCGCAATATTTCACTGCTAAACACATTATGCAATGTACTATGAAACCTGGCTCCATGATAATGTCCCTGATGCGGCCATCCAGCCAACAGGGCTGACGTCTTTCAGGGCCAACAGAGATGCCTTTCGCTGCAGTAAGACTGATAGCAGGGGAGTGTGTGTTTCAATCAATAACACCTGGTGTACGAATGTTACAGTAGCTGCTATACACTGTTCAATACAGACAGAAATCCTTATTCTTAAATGCCGGTCTTTCAACCTGCAGAGAGAATTCCCTTATTTTTGTAGCAGCTGTATAAGGATGCACTGTGTGGGCTGTATGACACTATTAGTGGGTTACGGTCCAGGTACCTGGTCAGTTTTGTGGTGACTGACGGGGACTTCAGTAATGTCTTGCCCTGCTCGTCCGCTTCTCCCTTATGCCATGCCCCCTCATATACCTCGTGTGGAATCCCCGTGTTACCAGCTGTTTCTTGCTGACATTAGTTCAAAGCATTTAAGTTTGCGTTAGGTATGTTTTCCCCAGTCATTGATGTCCGTTCTTCTTTGGTGTATCGTGTTCCTCGTTGTTTGCCTAATTAAAGTCCTCATTCACCCGACTTCCCAGCTCATGTGCTACTTTCCCACTCCGTGCCTGAGAGTACCAGGACAGAATGACCGGACTTGAAGAGAAGACTCCTCATCTGACCGAGGCGGAATACCTCGGTCTAGTTAAATACTTTATTAAAAAATTGTTATATGGCTTGCGGCTCCGGCCCACTTCTAGCAAAGGTATACACTGTAAAAAAAAAATCAGTCAAAAAACGGAAAATGTACTGGCAGAAAATTACCGGCACATTTTCCGTTTACGGACTCTTCCTTCAAGTCTCAAGGAAAATATTGTAAATTCACAGTTTTCCACAGGTTGTTGTTCCAAGGAATATTTCTTAAATAATAATTTATTTTCATTTTTAATTTTTCATTCTGCCTATTCAGATTTGTTTGTTTAATAAATGATGTTGTTCGCAAAACTACAAAAAGTAATTTGAGAATATAGTAATTCACTACATTCATTATTTTTCATGACTCAAGGGCCCATAAACATGCATTTATGCAACTGATGAAGCTGGATTCATTTGCAAGACCCTTAACCCCAAATTGAAAATGGAAGTTATTCTGGATACAAGTGTCTGCTAAATGCTGTAAATGTAAAGGGTGTGTCCACCTCAAAACGACAGTACCCACTACCCACCCAGCACCAGACATCCACGGATGCTGTTTTGTTTTTTTTTTTGTTTTTTGTTTTTTTCCTCGAATTCAAAATCCTTGAAGACATTGGACTTTTGTTGTTTCTAAACACATTTGAAGCCTGATCAGGGAGTGTATACAGTTCCTGTTGAAAAGTAGCTCTTACGAGGTTAACATCTGTGAGGTTCAGAAACTGGTAATGGGCCATAATATGGCCAGATCTCAGACAGAGCCTGGCCACTCGTGGCTAACATAAGGCCCTGCTCTGGCTCAGATGTTAACCTGATGCGACAAACGAGAGCGGTCCGCTCAATCACCGTCATTCCATGCGGTATGTGGGCCAGATGATTATGCGTGATGTGGGCCACATCCGGGCCAGAAAGATTTTGCTATCTGGGAAGGGCCGGTGTGTATGTGGGTTTTTGCTGCAACTCTCTAATTAGGTCACTAATCGGAGGACTGATTGGCTGAAGAGTCCTCACACCTGGGTTTGAACAGCTGACCTAAAGGTTATCCCAAAAACCTGCATACTTTGCGGATAAGATTGGGCACCCCTGCTGTACATAGACCTTAGTTCAGCATTTAATACCATAATTCCACACAGGCTGGTTGAAAACCTTTCCCTGCCTGGTCTCAGCACCTCCACCTGTTGCTGGACTATGGATTTCCTGACAGAGACCACAGACAGTCCCTGTTGGCAGCAAAACTTCCGGCTGCTGATGGTCTGGTGATGCCCATGACACCTTCATTGTATCTTCATTGGTTGTCCAGCAGGGATGTGTCTTTTTAAACCAGAAGCACACTGAGGAAGGCAACACGCCCAAACGCATCTGTATGGTCACGTTCAATTAAATAAAATAATATTAAGTGTGACCTGTTTTTTTTTCCCTATGCTGATTCTTCTTTGTGGTCAGAACTCTGAAGCTCTGTTATATTCATAGGAGTGAAGCCCATTTTTCCTGTACTCAATATTTGAAAAAGCATCATCATGCAAAGTGTTAAAATTTTAAACTAGATACAAACAGGGGAGCGTCAAATTTTATGAACTACGTGCGGTTTAATTATACTCTGATAACTCATTTTAAAGGGTGACTCATGTAAATTATCAGTGACAAACAGGCTGAATATGCTCCAGTATAAAATTTCATACTTACAGTAAGATCCCTCCAAGCGTACTGTTTCATAATACATTAAATAAGCCTTGATAATGATGCAGGCACAGATTCCCAAAGCAGCTACTGTAGTCAGAATTAAATATTCTGAAAAGAGAAAGATCACATTAGTCTGTGGTGTATAATTATCCACATTAGTGCCTTATCCTATCATTATTATGGATATAAAATGTAACATTAGTCTGTGGTGTATAATTTTCCACACCAGTATAAATCAAAGGTTTTCCTCATTTAAACAATCACTCTCTTTACTTCGGCTCCATTTATAAAGGCATAATTCACACATTTCCAGTCACATGACACCAGGGTTGAGTTGTACTGAAATACAGGTATCTGTGTTACATATTCAGAATACACAAATGTGTATGCTGTGTTCAGCTCATGTTATGTTTGTGAAACAGTATTTGAGAATAGAGACACTTTATAAAAATTAAGAAAAAAAGTATAATTTCCAAGGGGAAATTCTTCTGCAAATAGCAGCAAGTGTGAAGAGCACAGACAGACAGACTTACAGTATAGTGCAAAACAGACAAAGTGAAAAGACAGTAGAGAGTGAAAATAAGGAAACGTGGTGCAAACAAATTAAAAAGTACACAGTACTAAAATAAAATGGACAGTGGATTATGACTGGAATATTAAGATAATGAGTAAATACTATTATTATTTTTATTATTTTATTAAATTATAAAATATTTTTATATTTTAATACACTGAGGAGCCAAAACAGTATGACTACCCAGACATGATGTGAATAGTATTGACTGTCTGGTGAAAACGGCATATCAAGGCCTGGAATATATTAGACAGTAAGCCAACACTTGATACTTGTAGTCAACAGGATTAAGATCTGAGTGACGTTGACAAGGATCATTACGGTCAGACGACTGGGTCAGAGCATCTCTGATACAGCAAGGCTTGTGGGGAGCTGACAGCCAGCCGTGGTGAGAACCTACTGAGGGAGTCTGAGGAGGGAAAAACCACCATCTGCTGACAGGGTGTTGGGTGGCCAAGACTGATCAAAGTGAGATGTGAATGAAGGTGATCCCTTCTGGGACAAACCAACAGACGGTTGACTGTGGCACAAATGGCAGATAATTTTAATGATGGTCATGACATACAGAGCATCGAACCCTGCTGTGCCTGCGGGGAGGACATGGTCAGGATGGCTCCGCCAACTGCCCCCCACCCCGGTTTGCCCCCATATCTGCTCGGTCATGTTAAAATACCCCCTGAAATACCCCCAAGTACTCAGGAAGGTCAGATTTGGAACTGTCCTACACTCAGTTTGAGTTGACAGTGCATGTTGGGGGGGGGTCACTGGAGGAAAAGGCCCTGCAGCGGGTAGCCAGGTCGGCCCAGCACATCATCGGTACCCAACTCCCATCTATCACAAACAGTGCCTTCATAGAGGTCTGAGCATCAGCAGAGACCCCGCCCACCCCAGCCAGGGTCTGTTCTCCCTCCTGCCCTCTGGGAGGCGCTACAGAAGTCTCTCTGCCCATACTTCCAGGCTCAGGAACAGCTTCTTCCCTCAAGCTGTTAACCTTCTGAATCGTCTACCCACTGAACGCTGAACTCTTCGGAACCCTCACTTGCTATTTGCACCATTTTATTTTATTGCACTATTTTTATCTGCAACTTATGCCTATTGTGTTTATCTTAAACTTTTCAGCTGCATCTCACTACTTCAGGCACAACTTCACCTATGGAGACATGCTTATATGTAAATCTGTATGTATATGTTAAAATGTATCTGTTTCATTAATTTATCTGGATAACCTATGTATAATGTATGTGATATACGCCTAATCTGTGTATGTATAATTTACGTAAAATGTATGTGATGTACACCTAATCTGTGTATGTATATATGTAGAAATGGGCATTGTATGTATGTACAACTTGTGTATAATGTTTGTGATGCATGCTTAATCTGTGTATGTATACATAATTTATGTATAATGTATGTGATATACGCCTAATCTGTGTATGTATATATAACTTTTGTATAATGTATGTGATATATGTCTGCTGTGTTTGCCTCCCTGTGCAGCCGGCTGCACATACACAAGGCGGCCTGGTGGATAGGTTTAACTGCACCCTGGAACAGCTGCCCTGGATGCAAAGTGTTCTGGTAGTGGTTTGGGGATGTCGATACTCACGTGCTCCAAAAGTTTGTGCACAGACTATTTTGGCTGTTCATTACCAATACACAATTACTCATTTAATCAACCTTGTTGGCATTACAACATATTACAGTGTCTAAAGGTATTGAGAATGAGGTACATTTTGAGTATCCTACCAGAATACAATACTGAATACATTCAGTACTGTGTATTCAGCATTCAGACACTACATGCTTATTCATAGCATTCTGCCCAAACCTGTGTGACCCTCAACCCTCACACTTACACAGTTGAGTAACAATAAAAGTGACAGTGTCATAAACTCACTTTTCGCTTTGAACACAGACATGTTTTTATCCATCCATCCCTCTGCTGTCCAGACCCACACATAAGTCAGAATTAATGGGTCTGGACCAATCAGGGCTCAGTCCCACACCCACAGACCCAGGAATCGAACCCTTAGTGTGAAGTTACAGTACTGCCCACTGTGTCACAACACCTCTGGGAACCAGCAGAGGGCGCTCACAGTCTCTCCTTCCTGCACCACTCTGAACTCGCCAGACCAGTTCCACTGGTTCCTATCAGTGCACCAGCCTCTAGTTCCCTCCTTTCCCCTCTGCCTGTTTAAGCTCAAGCTCCCCAGCAGTCCTCATTCGGACCTTGAACCCCTGGCCTGTGTATCCCTATCTGTGCTAGTCCTTATACTCTCTCTGTTTGCACCTGGTTCTGCTGTGTTCCAGTTGCCCTGTCCCTACCGTTCCAGTCCCGTACCCTGATTTTACCCTTATTAAACCCTGTTCTGATCCTTCCTCACCTCTGGATATCTGCCTCCTTTCCCCCCCTCCTTACAGTCGGTCGTGACACACTGAGCCTCCACAGAAGTTATTAAATGTATTAGAAACACCAACCTCCATTTACACACATAATAAGTATGAAAATGCAGGGAGACTCACCTAGTTTAAAAGTGTTGTTAATCCAGGCAATGAGTTGAGAATAAATAGCAAGGAACAGCAGGTTAAACATTCTGGAATTATCTGTAAGGGCAAACAGAACAAATCAGACACCCTCAATCAGTCAATACAGATATAACATGATAATAAGTAACAAATTGTCCTTGGGCTTTTCTTCCCCTGAGATAAATCCTGCCGTCCCCAGGGCCCGACTCCACTGTGAGGTCATGCACAGTAAGACCCATGATCTGAGGGCAGCGGGGGTCAAAGCACAGGCCAAGGAGTCTAATGCCCCCGCAAATCAAAGGGTCCCTCAAAACCCTGTGGTGTGATGAAGGTGTGGGTCGGCATGTGTCGGTTGGGGGGATCCCGGACCATCCCGCATGGCGGCCAGGTGCCCCCCCAGCGCGTACACCCTACATGTCACCCTACATCAGGTCCACACAATAACATCCTACTGGGTAAAATGTCAGGTGCACAGGGTACAAGTGTAATCTGTCAAAGACCAGAACCTGCAAACTTCACACAAAGAGCAGAGGTGGGACTCGAACCTCCAGCCCTGGAGTTAAGAAGCAGCAGTGCTGCCCACTGGGCCTGTGTGCCATGGAAAACGAAACAGCTCTAAACCTCATTCTGGTCAGAATTCTTAATATGCCAATGGACATTAATGTTGATGTGAACAAATACATTCACATAAATATACTTACACAGGAAAAATTCCATGATTACAAGAAAGTGTCTAAGTCGTACTGTTTCTCCCATCCTTCCGGAACGTATTATCCAAAATACACTGAAACCAGCTGAAATAAGGGAAGATAAGTTTTAGTCACCAGACACAGACACAAACAGATGTGTTCAGTGATCCTGTGTTTAAAACTCTGCACAGCACTGTCACCTGGGGTTCTGAGTTGAATCCCATATTTGATGCTGCACTAAGCACACTTTTAAATATCAATGTCATTTAATTTGTGTGTTTAATTCACTACAATGTAGCAAATAAATACCTCTATACCAAGTTCTGCCCCAGTGTTCCTGATATTCCAAAGTCTAAAACAAATTTTAAACACATACTTTACAAAACCTGAAAACGTACTTACCTGGGAATAAAACCATGATGACTGGCATCATTAATAAAGTGGAAAATGTTGCAAGTTGTTCTTTCCAAGCTGCAGCTGAGTATTTTGCCAGATAAACACTGACAGCAACTAAAATAAAGTAAGAACAGAGTCAGTCACCATGAAATTCATGTCAAACAGAGTACAAACACAGATGTGTTCACTGGTGCTGCACAGGCCTGTCACCTGGGGGTTCTGGGTTTGAATCCCTTATTGAACATTGTGATTTGAAAAGCACATCCTAGAGTGTTTGGCTTGGACATTTGATCTCTAAATGTACATATTAATTGTGAAAAAATCATTTAAAAATCCATGTTGTACATTTCTGAAATCCCAGGGGCCAAAACAAACTAAATTAACATACTTTATCCATCCATCCATCCATCCATTCATCATAACCCCTTCTCAAGTACAGTTCCATGGTGAGAATATCCCTAAAAAGTCCAGAGCACCTGCAGGCAGAGGCGTCATGCTGATAGAGACTGAATTTAAGAATGAGCCGGGGGGCGCATAAGCAGCAAAAAACAGATGTTCCTGCTCCCCAGGTCAGAAAGGATATGTGAGAACCTGCCGTCAGCATCTCCTCCTGAATTGAGAATATGAATTTGAAGGACCCGCCTGAGCAGAATGACCACCTCACATCTCCGAGAGGAAGCGGGTGAGGAGGAAACAACCCTGTAGAACCTGGAGCCTCACAATGCATCCCGCCACAGTAAATGGGTCTATATTAAGAAGGCAAGATCAACCTTCTCAAAAATTCAGGCACACTGGACTGGTATTCGGGGCTCTAACATTCCAAGAGGCTATATTTACATTAGCCGTGATCTAAACATAAAACATGCACAGCAAGGTGTAAATGAAAAAACATGTAAGTATAATCTCAGAGTGCAATTTGCCTCAGGAAAAACCTACTGCCCACCCCCCAGGAACGAAAGCAACCCCCCCCCAACCCCATTCTCTGGATAGCTACAGCATTCTAGCAGGAAAGACTCCCATCAGCTAACCAGACCGCAGCGATAATCTAGCAAACACTCAAGTACTAAATTAACAAAAACAGACGTGAAGGGTGAATTAAACACAGAAGCATCAGACAACAGGGCTGTACAATGCAGAAAAGTACAGTGTCCTGCAGGAAATGTACGGCAAGCTTTGGGGAGAAAGAATCAAGCAGGAAGACTGGAAACGGTCCATGACGACGTTCACATCCTCTGGAGTAGAACACAACACACGCTGACCTTCATGAGGCACGCAGGAAAGATCAGCAAAGGAGAGAGACCCAACTTGCCCTTTGCCCTCCCGATTGTGGTGTTCATCACTTTCTTAGCTGTGGCTGTCTTGGCACTAAAATCTTGATAAAAAAAGATTCTCCCACCTTTGAAGCTGAGGTTTTGGATTTTGTGGGCTTTACGCATCACTGTCTGCCAATCATGAAAGTCAATAAAGTGCATGATGACGGGGGGGGGGGCAAGAAGAGGTTTCATACGGCCACACAGCCTGTGAGCACGGTCAATGGCCGGCTGAAAGTTAGGGAGATGAGGGAAGACAGCCGACCGGAGTTGGCTAAAAAAGTTTTAAGTTTAAACCTACCATTATACGAGTGTCTGGTAAAGAGTAAGACATCGTACAATAGAGAGAGAATAAAAGAGAGACGATCGGGGTCAGTTTGGGGAGATCCTAGGTAAGGTTTGATTTCTAAAATGAGATCCGGAGGCAGCAAATAAATGAAGCCAGATGCTGAGATGTCTTCTAATGCAAATATTATGAGATTTAATTACGGAGTTGGGTCATGTGAACAATTGCCGATTTGGATAAAAGAATGTAGTTTTCCGAATGTAGGTAGTTTCAATTTGAGACATATGGAACAATAAAAGCCTGACCAGTCCTGTGCCCCAGCCAACCTGACATCCCCTGTCTCCAGTCTTTCTTCTTTCAGAATTGCCCGACTGCAAAATACGGGAAGCCTGAACACAGACAAGATCAACCTTCTCAAAAATTCAGGCACACTGGACTGGTATTCGGGGCTCTAACATTCCAAGAGGCTACACGACGTCCTGCAGTTGCCCATGGTTGAAGTGGCAGGACCTGATGGTGACCGTATGTTAGTCCACCAACCCTGAACTGCTGGTGACCTAAATGATGTAACGTGGAGCTTCACCGACCCCCGATGAACAGGGGGAGTGAGGTTTGCAGAAGAACTGGGACAGTTCCACAGAGAATTTCAACTAGCGGTGTAACGATACGTGTATTCGTATTGAACCGTTCGGTACGAGGCTTTCGTTTCGGTACGCATTACAAACCGAATGATTCAGAAAAATACTTTTATCCCTCTGGAGTCGACGGTCAGTGATGCCGAGTATCTTTCTTGTCTATTTCAGTTCATAACTCGCTGAAATCTTATTATAGAAACATGAAAAAAAACGCTGACTAAATCCGTAATCGGTCTTCTGTTCAAAACGTCCATTGTCAGAAGTATTAAAGTTTTTAAAATTAGGTTAAA